CATGCCATCCGAGTGGAGTACGGATGATCAATCTATTTTTCTAGAAACAATTGATTATTCATATTTATAGGGCTATCAACTGCTGGGCTTTGAAAAGGTCAGTATTGATTATCTAAGTCACGCAGATGCTGTGCTTCTTTTCTAGCCATAAATATGAGTTGCTTTTATGAGACTCCTGTGATTTTTCAGGGAAGGGGGAAAGAGGGTGGTAGTCATGTGAATTAAGCAATGAGGATTTCAACTAAAACACTCTTAGACTCAGTCAGAAGTTTGGAATTAGCAGGTTCACGCTTTAGATTGGGTAACCCACCCCTCCCCCCAATATACAGACACATGATCTACTTTACAGATGAGGAAACTGAGTCCCTGTTAGTGGGCATCAGTGACCAAAATACCAGTGCTTGTAATTAAGGCGCAAAAAGGCTGTATGTCAAAATATGAACAACAGCTCTATCTGGGTGTAGGGTTTTGGACCATTGGGTAAATGTTTTTCCTTCTCCATACTTTTCTATATTGTAAATATTTCCTGTAAAGCTCATATATTACTTTTGCAATAAAAAGAAAAGATTTTAAACCCACTGTGAAAGCCAAGCCATTTGGCTGGGGTTATGTGGACAGTGGACTTTCTCCTCAATGAGGTTCCAAGAACTTACTTAGGAAGAACCAGTGAAGTCCAGACTGCCGTTCGCCATGCAGTCCTCTGTCCTCCCAGTCTTGGTGCATTTATGACTATGAGGCTGTCTCTGCTTGCCTTTCCTATGTCTTCCCTGAACATTCAGAGTTTTTGGCCACTTCAGCCTCCGTTCTGAATGGCAGTTGGTGAAAGTGGACTACAAATCTATCTTCAGCCGGCGCTGCACCAAGGAAGATTATCAGACCTGGCACCTGCTCAATCAGGTAACCACATGGTATGGTGGGGAGTATTGGCTCCTAGGAGAGGAGCTACTGCAAGCCCTGGTTAGTCATGCTTGGGCCTCGCTATGTGGAAGAGGAAGGTAGTGGGCTATCTGAGGATAATGATGGATTTTGGGGAAGGGTTGAAACCCACACACCCAGGTCCAGTAGATGGTATTTGGGACCATTTTGCATCATGGTATCCTGATCTATTTATTGAAGTCACTGAGAACAGGGGAAGAGGTGACAATGATAACCTGGGGTTTTAGCTCTATTCATGGAGAAATAAGCCCAGATAGCTAGGAGACCCTCAGATGGTTCGATCATATTACCTTCCCATGGGAAGCGTGAGAACATTTCTCAGGCCATCCTGAAGTAAGGGGCCTAAGAACACGGGGAAGAGAGCCACTGAGAAAGGGTGAGGGGTAGGGGTTAGGGCCTCTACAATGGCAGATATTTATTGGTACACAGTATAGTCAGGCTTCTGTGTTCTTCAGAACCATGGGGGCCTTGTAATTTGTACCAACTTCTGCTCTTTTTGCCCTTGACTAGGAATAAAGACTTGGGCATGGTTGTTTATTACAGAGAGGCAGCTTTTGGGTCAACTTCAGTTTTACTCTGAAGATGATATGAAAAGTATGTGTATGCCAGAAGTGGGATCCTTTCCACTAGAATTTCTG